CATTATCGACCAGTTTTTGACATCGCCAGGGGCGTTAGTAGAATTCTTTAAAATGTTTTTGTTCTCAAGGGGGGGGGGGGGCATCTATATATGCAGGGTGTTTCAAGAAATGTACCCAATATTGTTTTAAAATCAGCAAAAGACACAGTTTGCTCACTGTCTTCACAGTTGCTTTTTCTGTAGCGGCAGGTACCTCAATAGGATTGGAACACTAATTAGGAAAGTTAAGTTACTAACTTTTTAATTAGTGGAGTTAGGCAGTTAAGTCCGATGCGAGAATTGAAGTCCTTCAAAAACCCATAGCCGCTTTATGATTTCGGAAAAGCAGCCTCTAGTAACAATTATGAAATAATAAGATTCTCCTAAATTCTGCGGCAAACTGAAACCCAAGGACCGATGAGCGCCACAAGCAGACGACTACACTGACGTCACTGTTCAAAATAGCAGTTACAGAGGTGCAGTTCCTCCCCGTTCGTTAACGTACGCACGTCATGAGTGCTGTATTTGCAAGCGCAGCCTACACACTCACACAACGAATTCAGTTGATGGTAGATATAACAACTCCCCCACATTTCAGTTGCACTCTTTCGCATTTCGGTTTTAGTTTTGCTGCAAAATTGGGGAGAATTTCATTAATTCTCAGTTATTACTAGAGGCCGCTTTTCCAAAATCTCAAACTGGCAATCGGTTCTTTGCATTAAGGACTTCAATTCCCCCATTTCACTTAACTGTCTAACTGTAATAATTAAAAACCTAACTAATTTAGCTTTCATAAGTTTTGGTTCAAGTGATGTGTGGTCCGCTACCAATGCGTAAAATGCCCGTACGTGGTTCAGAGGAGCTAGCGGGTGATGTGCTTCATTTCTTGCGAGGAAGCCTGTCGCCAAGAGTGCACTAGCGCGTCATTCCTGCCCGCAGTCTCGCTGTCAGCGGAGTTAGGGCTAGAGACGACTCCGATGACGCACCGGGCTCGTAAAACGCGCGCTCGTAGTAATCTGATCGTGCATCCGGTGTGGCGGCTCATAGTAAACTGATCGTGCCGCCGCTTACAACTTCGCTGCTTGCGAAGAAGCACGTCCCCACGAGTGCGTTAGGAAGTCGTTCCGCCCACAGTCTCGCTGTCGGCGAGTTAGGGCTAAAGACGACTCCGATGACGTGCGGCGCTCGTAGACCGCGCGCTCGCTCGTAATAACCTGATCGCGCATCCGCTTACTGCTCGCAACTAAAGCGTAACTATATCTTAAGTGATTATCAAGCCGTGAACATGACACGAAGTGGCGATTTTTGAGAGCCATGTCCTCGCGACGCACAAGCAGCAGATGACGATCTCCCGGAGCGAGCATCGGGCCAATGGCGAGGCGAGCTGAGGCAACATGGCGGCCACGGCCAATCAAGGGCTTCAAAATGACCTTCAAACATTTGCTTTTTGCTCGCTTGTTGTTAAAGGGAGGAGCCAGCTGAGGTGGAAAAGTTAAACACGGAGAAATGCTCTTTCCGATGAGCCCAAGAAGCCGGCTCCCGGCCCAAGCATCGCGAAGCTATAATTTTTTTTAAATCACCGTTTTCTCGCCAATTCCAGAAAAAGTTTTGCTACCTAGGTGGGTGAAACGAATTTTCCGAAGCTCTTCTGCGCGGTTTTCAGTGTAGATATTTTGGAACCAGATAGAAAAAGGGTTCCAGAAACTGAAAACTTGAGTTTCAAAAAATCGATTTTTTGCCATTTTTCGCGATCCCAAAGCCGCGTCCCCCCTTAAGATGCCAGCTGCAACAGAAAAAGCAACTGTGAAGACAACAAACAAATAACATCTTTTGCTGATTTTTTAACAATATTGGACACATTCCTTGAAACACCCTGTATATGCCGAAGTGAAAAAAAAAATTCTGAAGTGAGGGGCATGTTCCCGATGTTCCCTCCTCCCTCCCCACCCCCCTTTCATGGCAACGCCACTGACCGTCACCGTCATGTTTCGCGCAATGTCTCAATCAATAATATCCCTCCATGCATCGTGTGTTTTACTAATGGGTAAAAGCGCGTGAGCGGGAGAAACGAACGCGGCTAAAGCAGGGATAAAAATAGCCGATCTATCTCCTTTGCACGAAGTGCTTATGTGATAACATCACCCTGTATACCAGGCCTGCCATCGATTGTTACGAAAGCAGAGAGGAACGCACCGCACATCTTTAAAAAAGCAGGAAGAAACTAGGAACGTAAGCAGGAGACGGGCATTGCAATTAACTTTGGGTGCAAACACTGGCGCACGTGCTGTTTCGGTATGCATTAAAAATGGCTGTTATACCTTTCTATATTGTACTCTCAATGCAAACAGACTGTAGGGATCGCATTCATTCCTAAGAGCTTGTAGGGCCCGTAAACCACCTAGAGGTCAAAATTCAGTTGTGGTGGAGAAATTGTGCACGAGTCTACGACAAACACAGCGCCATGAGAATTTTTCAAAACGGTGCAGTAACAGCCAAGTTAGACGCATTTCATAATTGAAACCCTGACGACCACACCTTTCACTCTCCTGCGCTCCCCGCCATTAGTATCCTCTCCCAGCTACATTGCCCTCTCGCCGAGCCCCCCTCCCATACTCCTCCCAATCTCACGTGGCATACGTCATCACTGACGCGCTGCTTGAAACACTGTCTACTTCCGGTTGCCGCGACTCCGGCCGTCGACTCTATCAGTTATGTTGTAGGTGCGTGCTTGTTGGCGAATCGTGGCTGCCATAATCGTGCCGCTATGGACCCTGCATTGCGTGCATGCCTTCAAAGGATCGCGAATGTGATAGACCCGTACAGACACACGCCGTGCCCCGCACTTGTTGCACACACGCGGGCAACACGGCGAACAACAAGCAGCGCGGACAGCTGCTTCCAGACTGGCCGGAAGTTGTAGGCTCTTGCTCAACCATTCACAGCATATTTGGCATATTTGGCTCGGCATGTCACGCGAAGGCCCAAAAGAACTGGAAAGAAGGAGGGATTGTTTCTTGGAATTTGTGGCGCGCCGGCGACTCGTAGGGCTCCCACATGTAGAATCATTCATCGCGACGGCATTTTGCACATGATGCACGCATTTATTTTAAATAGAAAAAATATCGGAGATGGTTTACGGGCCTTTTAAAGAAGCACTGACATCAAATTTCAAGATCGAGATGTGAACATTATTCGATCGCTTGGTAAGCATAGGTCTTCTTGGTGGCCCCGAGAAAAACGTGCACATCTTTGACGTGCCGGCGTGTCCACTGCTGGTGATAGACGATTCCAAATCTAACGTTGCCTCAATATGGTGCAATTTCCATTAATATTATCAGGATGGTGCAGTAAATCTGATTTGGCACAGGAGTGGGATCACAGAGAACATTAGGCATTCAAACAATCAATTGACATTTCAAACCATGCCAACATGCTCTTTGCATACCACAGGGCTTTCACGCACATGCAAACAGTAATTGACGACGTTGCCCATCACTATAGACCCTTTTCATAATTGTAAAGCTAGCTTTCCTGCCATGCAGTTTGCCCTACTAATGGGGGCTAGTCACTTTTTGCAAACAGAGTGTTCAAGCGCAGTCTACTTGCACTATGACTTGTAAAATGTAGGTTTAGCTATCTGGACATTACTCCACATAATAGATGAGCCGCAGCATCTTTAACTAGGACCTGGTCTCCATTTGAAGTAAGACAGGTGCCGCCATTAGTGGGGCAAACATGCAGTGCCGAGAAGCGCACTTGCGAATTACGAAAAGGATCTGTTGCGCGGGTTTTCGCCTGGTGAGATGCATGCGCACTATAAGTCTTAGTATTAAAGAGGTACCTACACAAAACTTTAAAGCAGGGATAAATTGTGGCATATATTTTTGTACACAGGCATCATATTCAAAATATCAACAGCTAATTATTGTTTAAAACATATTTAAAATCAACTTCAAACGGCTTTAAGTGCTACTGCATGTGAAGAGCCCCACCTCTCATCAACGCCGCCTTAATTTTAACATAAACAACCAACTACCTGCATCACAAGTCTGGTTAGCTGTCATGAAATTTGCGAGTGCTCTAAGACCTTTTTAATAGAAAAGGGGGGTGTATCCTTTATGAATTTTTGCAGAAGTACAAAGACTGAAAGTCATTGCCTTGGCAGGGCATATTCAGGGGTCACACATACTTACAATATCCTAGAGGGAATTGAAGCAGCACCTAGAGAGCCTCTACTGAAAAACAGTTGTCAATATGATTCTCAAGTGAATGCGATTTCGTACACTCGTGTATTCAGCAATATTTACAATAAATCATCCTGGGCCCCTCAACTCTCGGAGCTCCTTGAAAATGAAGCAGCTACTGGGCACCATAAAACAGTCCTCAAAAAATTAATCATTGTGTGTGCGAGCAAACAAGGCTTCGAGCCTAAGTGGCCTGTTAGCTACTTATTGCAACAGAAAAAACAAGATGTAAAATTTTGCATCAGTCCTCCTTTAAAGGTACCGTGACACGGTCACCCAACAATTTGCAGTCTTCAGTAAAACACAGAAGCAGAGGCTCTATTGTGCCTATACATACACAAAAAATGTACTGTAAATAAATATTTCAGTGCAAGGTAAGCCATCGACGTCGCCGGCTATAAACTTCGCCCACCACAGGCGACCACCAGTTTGTCATGCCGTTCTCACGTCACATAATGACATTGTGCCAATGTAGCCTAACTCTCAGACCACTTACACTTATAAAAATATTAAATTATAAATTATGTTCTGAACCGAATAGGCTGAAGTTTCACCACCTTGTTTGTGAACACACAAGGATTAACCCACATAACACATATCACAATACAAGATAGGGTGTCATTGCCTTTTAACACATTTTTTTCTTATGATAAGATAAGCCATGACATGATACAGTAGACATATTAGCGTGCAGTAATATCTGGCCTCTCAGAGCTACACAATGAAAAACAATATGAAAGATATCATAGGTGCACTTTTATAAGCGTGGCTGCTTACCTTGTTTGGGCTCTGGAATATCTTCTTGCTCTTGAATATGCATCTAGAAGATGATGCTTTTGGTTCAGAAGTTTTCACCGCATCTTCTCGTGAACTTGATGGCAAGTTTAGAAGTTCGAGTGCTGACTGCTGTGAATCTGTAACCGAGCTTTGAGATGCTTCATCACCAGCCATAGATGGCAGCTCAGAGTCCTGAGCACTGGGAAGCGGAGAGCTCGAGGTTTCTACACTAGTATGTTGCAAGGTCACTGAGGATTCATTTTCCATACTGGTGTCTGTGGGGGACAAGTTAGCAGCAGAAGTCTCACTGAGGCTAGCCATCCCTTCAGAAGTAGATATTTCACTAGAGTTTGCCACCTCACTAACAGAAGATATTTCACTAGAGGTTGCCACCTCGCTAATAATAGATATTCCAGTAGAGCTTGCCACCTCGCTAACATCTGTCACACAGGTCATACCAATTTTTGTACTAGGCACCACCAGCACCAAGCCAGACACCAAGGCATCACTAACAGCTACTCTCGTTGCAGTTTTTTTCACAGGTACCACCACGCCTGGTGTCTCTACTGGAGCACCTGGGTTTCTCTTTCGAGAGTATGTTCGTAGGCCTGCTGTAGCATGGAATGAGCCATGATCATTACCATCACCAGACTCGCTGCCTTTTACAGACTCATCAGCGAAAGAAGTAGATGGTGTTGGTAATCCTTGTAGTGGGGTGGCCTTCACAGCAGCAGACATATGAGGTGCAGCGGTTAAAGATAATGAGGCCGAAGGAGCCACCATCAATGGAGCAACAGTGGAAGGTTTAGGTGATAGATAAGAAGTAATTGGATGATCCCTCGAAAGTCCAGCTGCACGACTGCTCTTTTCCAGTTTTACACATCGAAAATCGACATTATCATCAGGACCCCAGCTTATGCCCACTTTGGACACAGGTTCATTCTTGTCCTTAGACTTGCTAGCAACCGCATTAGAACTTGATGTACGCAGTCTGTCGAATTGCGCCACAGCACGTGCTGACGTTTGAGATGCCAATGGTGATGATGTACATGTGGTGTTGCGGCTTTTGAAGAACTTCTTGGGCTTTGGAGGCAGGGGTCGGTTGCTTGCTTGTGCAGGGTCCAGTGCTGAGCCATGCAAACGTGAGCTTGCACTTTTGCTGCTGCTAGACAATGTTTCATCATGGTCAATGTCAAAACTGAATGGGTCGTCATCTGATGCAGGGTTGGGAACTTTTGTATTAGATGACACTGGTCCATCATTTGCTCCATCTGGCAGGCCATTAGACTGAAACAAGCCAGATTTGCAAATAGTAAGGCAATAAATTTCCCTTGCATATTAATTCAAGTGAAAGTACAATATTTCCACTATGAAGGAAAATTATATTTCATTATATTTTATAACTCAAATACCACAGCAATACAGTGACAAATTATATTCCATGGCAACCAAAGGTTAAAAAATGTGTAAAGTGAAGTGCTATCCCTACTTTCATTCAACACAGCACAAACAAGATCAGTGACAACCCTAGCAACACACACAAGTGAAAGGCAAACAGCCCCTTCTCCCTATCTGCCAAAGCATACTATAGCTTTATATGCTGCTCAGAGGGATAGCAAAAGGTATAGACATAGAAAGACTATAAAATGAAATACACTGCTCACTATGCAGTAATACACAGTTAGGCACTGGGGTCCAAGCTTTACGCATGTAACGCTATATATTGCAAGCATATTCGTTATTTTGCGTGGGATACATTTTAACTGCCAGTACAAGCATGACCATGCTCTCAATGGGTCATATTTTTATGCTAGAGGAAGAGAACGATTAGCAGTATAATAACCCACTTAAAACAATCCAGAGAACCCCAACAAAGATTTTACAATGCACTGGTCAGACACAGAAAGCATACCCCTGAGAAGCATATCTTTCAGTCAGGCTAGTGATAAATACTATGCAAGTGAGTCATTTCACGCCAAATGCCCCAACCAGTTTGGCGACAATGTCAAATATACCATTTTTTTTTAAATCATGCTGATTTACTGCAATAAACACAGTGAATTGCTAGGATATCTCGGGGAGAAAAATTTTTTTGGTCACGTGGGTGCCTTCAGAGCTTCCCAGAACGTCGTCTCGGTGTTGTTTGTGAGAAAATTTATTTTAAAAGTACCGTTTCTTCTTTTCGTAACGAATTTGGGTTTACATAAGTAAATGTGTTTGTGTAAGGTCTTTGAAGCTGAGTAACATTAGTGCAATTTTTCTGCCACATATGCCTCTAAGAATTTAGCCAAAATGCCTTTTGTTTGCATTTTTTGTGTGGCAATACTGCACATTGTACGAATATCTGAACAATGAATACTTACTCCACAGAAGGTATACTTTTCAGAAAAAAATTTTTTGACCCCTCAAGCAGCTAAACTTTAAGAGAAAAAATCCGGAATTTCACGAAATCGTAATTTTTGTCCACAATGAGATGCAATTTGCACCATGTAGTGGTTCAATTAAAAATCACCTTAATACATAAATCAAAAGCAAATAAAGTTCTTTTTATATGACAAATTATACCATTACAATTTTTGTTTGAGGAAAATAATTGCTAAAGCTTTTCACTGATAGTAAGGGGGAGTTCAAGACGGAAGCCATCCTATGACCAAACGGGAAGATAGCTGCCAATAAGAAGCTTCAAAAATTATTTTTTTCTTTAAAACAAAAACTGTAATGATACAACTTGCAATACAAAAAACTGTTTATTCACATTCGAGTAAAGTATAAAGGCGATTTTAATTGAACCACCTCATACTGCAAATTTTGCCCCAATGTGGACAAAAATGATCATTTGGTGAAATTCTGATTTTTTTTTTCTTCTCAATTTTAGGTACTTGAGGGATCTAAAAATATTTTTTCTGCAAAATATACCTTCCCTCGAGTAAGTATTGCTCATATATTCACACGAAGTGCAGTATTGTCATAAAAGAATGCAAACCTAAAACATTTTGGATAAATTGTTAGAGCGTGCATACATTTGACACCCACTTACTTATCCTGAGCAATGAACTATGGATAACATGCAGAGCCATCAATTCCGGAGATCACAAGCACATACTTCAGTTAGGCCGATCATAACGAGGAAAAGCGCATTGATGAAAAGATAGGTAGTGGCTTTCCGCAGCACTGTGAAAAAGATGCTAGTATGTTGTAAACCAAGAAAAATTTCGTCCAGAAACACTCCACTGTCGTTTAAAAAGCATAATATAAACTTGGGTACAGTTGCTGCGATATGCACTTGAATGGGCGCACTAAGGCGAACAGAGGTCAAATCGTAGCAAAATGGCACAAATGAAACAGTTGCACAACCACTGCATTTTCTATGGTGTTGAAACTTCTGTGAATAGTGCACAATCTCGCATAGGACAGTGCGAGTTCAGTAGCTCATAATACTATACCATAGTCACTATAGTATAGTACAATGTAAACTGCCTCAACTCTCCCATCGACACTTCAATTTGCCAGCTGGCAAGTTGCTAAGACTCACACAATGCCCAAGTAAATAACTAGCACCATGCAATTTCATGCTCCCCTGTCTAAGGTGAAAACTGTATTGCAACAACATGCACATTCAATATTGCTGCTTGAGTATGACTGGCTCCATCATAGCCATGATTAAGTTGAGAAAAAATAGCTTTTTCAGTCATGGATGCAACAACCACATTGTTTGTCAGAAAAAATGTGAGAGAAGAATATTAGCCCAAGGCTTGATAGGCAGCCTAGTCTGTGTCCCATTTGCTTCCACTATTAAGTTCTCACAATGAATATTAACAGTTTGATACAAGATAAGCATATTGCTTTGAATTGCCACAAAAGTTTTGGCCAAGCACGATGCGCGTGGATATAGATGCCCCACACTGACAGCTGTGAACCTAGCAGCCGCTTACCACAGAGTTCCATCAACAGAAAAACACTGAAAGAGTGAGGCAAAACTAAAATGTAAAAAAATGTGATGCAACAAATTTCACTTCACTACGAGCTGCTATATGAGCTATAACGCTTGAGCTGTGGCCAGCCAGAGCGATCCTCTTATGAGTGAAGAAGGTTTTGCCATTCCAGCAGCGCCTTACCCGGCTCATTTGTTTCACTTTCTCATGAAACCCTGCTAAGCAGCTATTGCTCTCATGAAAAGAAAAAAAAAAGACAACAGCTATGAAGCTAATGCAGGAAAGTTCCCTGACGAAGGAGGCTACACTAAGGGTGGAGGACATCTGAGCTGCTAGGTGGGTCAGTCTATGTATTGTAACCCCGATAAAAGAGTGGGGGGTATATATAATGCTAAACCGGTAATAGCCTGGACTTTTTTGTGAGTTTGCCCCTGCTGCTCACCCATAGGTCATTCTTAAGACTGCATGAAATGATATTGGCCTCGAGATCGTGGAGTGCGTCCTCTGGCGTGTGACGTCAATTTGAGGGTTCCACTTTCAACTGCACTGCAGCCGCCACTGCTCCTGTACAGAGATCGTCTGCTCCACACGGAAATTTCGTCGCACGAACAGCCTTGCGAGGGTCAACAAATGTCGTCAATGACTGTTTTCGAGTGCAATTAAAATCTTGTTTTAGTTGTGGCCCAATCGACAGGGCCAGAAAATACCCCGGATGGCCGACGAGTGCGTCGAAGCATCCGACCGATTTGGTAAGACGACCGCATTGCGGGTAAGAAAGTAAAACTATCTGTGTGTGTGTTCTCGCTCGTTATCACGCTTTCCACCGTACGATACTATTTGTTCAGGTGTTTTTTATCTTTTCATTAAATGTTTTAGTAACCGTGCCTTTCTCCAGCATCTACAAGTATGCAGATAAAGTTTGTGAAACGTCGTGGTGTCTCATTGAGGGCGAGGTGGTGTACGACGCAGATGACATTTTTTTAATGCGCGGTCGAGCTTGTCACCGGAGACCGCTTCACCATCGCAGCTCTTGTCCTGCAAACAAGTTAACTTGCGAACCCGCCACACAATGTCTCCGTTCTGATCGACTGTGGCGAAATGGCGAATGCTCGCTATTCGTCAAAATCAGCATGAGGCAATGTCTTCGTGTACCATAACGAAGAAGTTATGTTCACAGCTGGTCTGTAGTTTCTGTCAAGCTTATATCACATTTTGCATTGTGTTAATCTTTTAAATTAGGAACCTAAATACAACTCCTAACTAGTTTGAATATTTAATGTTGCCACCATTCTTGACTTAATAATGAAATATTTAACAGTGGCATCAGAAATTTCTATTATTCCTGTTAATAAAAAGGAAACGAATATTTTACAGCTTTAAAATTTGTATTCCCTCTTAAAACATAAGACTGCAGGTTGGAGAGGCGGAGCATAAATTCATATTTTATGCATAAACCTGGGAATGCCAATAAAGTTGCAGTATAATGTAGTTGAGAAAATCGATATGTGCCTTTCAAAATTTAACATTGCTCAGCACTCGCCATGGAGACAAGTGGCCGCACGCAGTTCTATGAAACAAAACGCTGTGCGTTCAGAATGAGTTAAAACCAGAGAGCCACGGATGTTCGAACAGCGTTGGTAGCACCACAAATCAGACAATCAACTCAACTGTTTCTCTGTCAAGCTTAATCAGGCACAGTGGTTTCTATAGGGCGCAATACCTCAAGACAAAAACGTGCGAGTTCTCAAACTGACGTCATAAAAGTGCCGTACACAGCTCCGCCATCAGTCGCGCAACAGGCCAATATCTCATGTAATTAGCGTAATCTAAAAGCATAGTTATAGCACTGCATTAGCATCATGGGTACGCAAACGAGGAGTAAACAAAAAGCAGATCAACAGGCTCATGCCGGTGCTGTGATAGATAGGCCAGTAGAATGCAAGTATTTCTTTCATTGAATTTTATTCCTTTCTTAACACCCATTGCTCACAGCCCACTACTACAAACGAAGAGGAATAGCATAGAAATAGAATTGTTAGACTACAATAGCCAGGCTTTCCTATAGCCAGGCTTTGGCTAGAAAAAAATTAAAATATATCACAGCAGCACAACTGGCACAGGTGGGCCACCACGAAGCCCTCATAAAAAGGCAAAATGAAGTATCGCAAAGAAAACGAAAAGCTTAAGCTCTGTCTGCCCTTACCTGAGCTGCCTTTCGAAGAGATGTGAATGAAGTCATGCCCCACCGGTGCACAGCTGCAACCGACATTTTAGCTGAACTGGCTTTGCTGTCTCCTTTATCCAGAATAATCTGATCCAATGGAGGAGCCAAGCGGCAGTCATGCTTTCGGCCGTACGTCCTTGCTCCAAACTTTGACATGATGCAGACCTACCAAATCAAAATCCCATTAAGTAGGTCTCCAGTACACATATTAGGGCTCAAAATTACTAAAAACAAATGCAGACACTAAAGGGTCCCTGCAACACTTTTCCAAGTAATTGTAGAATGGCTCCATTAAAAAAGCTTATTGCCCAAGAAATAAATTGCAGCAAACAATTTTAGAATTCGTTGAGCAAAACCGGAGTTACAGGGATTATTGGCATGCTTCAAGCACTTTCCCTCTCCCTTTGGGCCAGCGAAAGTACTGAAAGCTATGCGATGGGGAATGACAGGCGGTATGGACATGCGTTTGTTTGCCAGTCTGTCTCATGAACTTGAGCACTTTTTTTTTTTAATGTGTAGATTACTTTTCGTGTGATTACAAGTGCGCACGCAGACAAGTAGCAGCATCTAGCGGAGGACATGGGAACTGTGCCACTCAAGATGCTCCAATCAGCCAATGGCCAGACTTTTGGTTTATGGCAGTCAATTAAGTTTATTACACCATCTTTCGAGAAAAGAAGGAACGATTCCTAGCTTACTTTTAAAATTCATTGTGAATTGTAGGCCACGTGCCGCAACATAATGTTTGGCGGGCATGCTCTCAGGTGCCTCAACTACCGATTAACAGTGTTTCCTGACCAGGCTGAAAAAGTATTGCACCACCCATTAAACAGTAACGTGAATGTACCACTAAGGTTCAGAGACCTTACACACAGCCTGTCAGGACAAATGTAGGACTGAACATGACTGGAAACCAGAATGCCTGCTGCCAAACATTCTCGATGCTCAATGCTGCTTTTCCCACTACTATTAAAAAATGTGAAACCTAAGCAGCAGAAATATGAACTGCTGATATGAGGTGAAATTAGAATGCAGCCTTACATCTCCAATACTAAATTTGTATAAATTATAGATAACAGAAATTTGCTGCATTATTCCTTCCAAGTGCTGCTGTATATACTGAAATGACCACCAGGTATTACGTTTTTTCTCTGTAGCTCCTGCAGTCAACTTATTAGAAAAGAGCTAATAGACATAACTCTCTACATTATTTGTAATGGTGTCATGCAAAGTTCTATAAATCAACAATGTTGTACTACTACTTTTACTAGACTGTCTTAATCATTAAGGAGAAACTCTGACAGTTTTTCGATATCCAGTGGCTTCAAACAAAATGACAATCTATGGTATAAATGTGTCTTTGCCATTGAGTGTAGCAGAAAACATTTTTTTAATAAATGAAAGAAATGCCAACATGTCCACATTACGCGTATATTCCTTGATGCACATCAAGCACACGCTCTTCGTCGCTGCTGCTTCATTCCTTTTCTTCCGCTTTTTATTTAACAATATGTGCCCTTTGATGCCAAACGGCAAGACTTCTAGTCACCATGTCTTCCCCCAAAAAATAAGGTTGCAATTCCAGAATCATCACTTCAATGTGAAACTATTTACAGGCCACTTTGCTTAAGCAACATCAAAGCCTATTTTACACAGCATAGTGACCTATAGGCATCGCTACCATTGCTGACATCACTGCGAGCATACGGCCAAACTCCAAAGGGCTGTCATAGCTTGCTGCGTATTGCTTACTGCACTTTTCTCGCAACAGCACCGTGTGTACTGTGCCTATATTACAGAGTGGTAGATTGTGACGTCATTGTAGATATTACATGAACAAGCTACCCATTTCAGTTTAAACGCATAGTTTTTGGTTATTTAAAAAACTAATGGACATTCACACGCTTTCAAGGTCCTGTCAAAGTTTCCCCAAGGATGCAGCATGAAATTCCAACTTTTCCAAACACGCGAGATAATTTTATAGAGCTTTATACATTTACCAGTGTATGTATATATCTTATTTCCCTGGCAACTTACCACTGTCCTGAAGCAAAGAAAGTGCAATCATAGCAAGCAGCCAGTATCAACATATGGAGCTGGAGCACAACAAACTTAAAAAGTTGAAGGGATTGACACCTGGCCAGGACATCTGATTAGCTAGTAGTGACAATGGATAGACCGTGAGTTATAGAGAAAGAGTTTGGTATTTTTTCTCAATTATATTATAGTTCGCATCTTTAAGTTATGTTCAAAAGCCACAAGAACCCATATGAAATGACGCCTGGTGGTCAAGCCTTGGAACTGCCCAAATTGTGTTGTTCCGCTTGCTATATGAAGTCTGCTGTTGTTCAGGCACACCATAATTTGTGCTCAAACTCAGTCTGAATATTAGGCATCAACACTTTTTTCTGTTAACGTAAAAGAAGTCAATGCTCGGAAGTGGCACTGCCTTCCTTCGCAGCAATTATTGCAATCAACAACTTGAGTCGTGGCACATGCATAACCACATGCATGTTGTGCATGTGCCACGACTCGACAACGGCTCCGGAGCGAGGGGAGGACCACTATTGGCAAAAAAAAAAAGTTGTCTGTGAACTTAAGTTCTTGGTTGGAAATGAATCTTGCAGAAAAGCAGGCTTCCATTTTTTTCGCGAATCATCATCTGACACACGCAAAACGTAAACATAAGAAACATAGAAAAACTAGTCTCAAGCACAGTTTGTGAGCCTGTAAGTATCCTCATACAAACACATAAGCCTCAAAAAAACATCCACCATGCAAAGATAGTTTTACTCAAATAAAACTAGTAACAGTCCTTCTAAATGGAAATATTAGGTTTTAGATGAACATAACCATGCAAGCTTAAAAGTTATACTTAGCTGATTGCTGCTAAAAATGCTACCTTGAATTCTGTGAGGCTTCGGTACCACAATGGTTATTACGCAATACGTATAGCACAACGCATTTAGCCACACATCAGGGAAGACTTCAGTGACAATAAAAACCCAAATCTGTAGGATTTGTAAAACTGCTGCAATAGTGCATGTAACAAAGAACAATGAACACAGTCAGCTCGAAATAGGTTAGCATAAGGTTCACGACAGCAGCAATTGTGTAGTACATTGACATTTTTGTTAAAACGCGTACTAGCATGTCACCACGAAAATGAAGGATAGACCCTGAGCAGCATTATAAAAAGCAGACACACACACACACACAAGCAAGATTGCAATGATGCACAGCCTATCCTCAATGCAGATTCGCAATTAATTCCAAAACGACAAAGTAATAACAAAGTTGAAGGAATGGGCTGAATGCTTTAAGGTGACTAGTACAAATATGTTTCCAAAGGAAACAGAAAACTTCCGGCGCAAGTTCTGCACAATGGGGTGTTATAAATCATTTGCAAATATAACACATTGCCTGAAAGACTATGCCACTCATCATTCCATAGTACATTGACATTTTTGTTAAAGTGCATACTAGCACGTCACCACAAAAATGAACGATAGACCTTACTGCTCCCCTGAGCAGCATTATAAAAAGCAGACACACACACACACAAACAAGATTGCAATAACGCACAGCCTACAGATTTGCAATTAATTCCTAAACGACAACGTAATCACTAAGTTGAAGGGATGAGCTGCATGCTTTAAGGCGACTAGTACAAATATGTTTCCAAAAGAAACCGAAAAACTTCCAGTGCAAGTTCTGTACAATGAGGTGTTATAAATCATTTGCAAACATAAAACATTGCCTGAAAGACTATGCCACTCATCATTTCATAGGAAGCCCGGCTATAAACATGCATACACTGCTACAGATTTCACTTGTGACATAAGGGCACTGCTTATATCACCAGTGAGAATGTAATAAAAAAACTAATAGTCTGTTTAACACTGAGAAAACATGACTGTCTGGGTGCGACAGCAAATTCGAACATGACCAATGAATAAACATTTTCCCTTGTGAGCACAGTGAGAACAAACAACGCTAGCAGTCTTTGTTTATTTCAAACATTGCACCTGCTTCACTTACGCAAGCTACTCTGCATGATGCTATTGAGCATTATCAACCCTACCATTTCTTGTCGCACTGCAGCCACTGCTACAAGTACTGCCCCTGCGGGGCGTCTCTACGCGACAGGCGCGTTCAACTATCCACGTACACAAGCGACACCATCAAGATGTACTAATGTCAAGAGAAGAAAAAGAAAAACAACACCGAGAAGCTTCCTGTACCCCCATTGACGTCTTCCCAAGAACTTAAGCATGGCATTTCTGCAATATGCTAAATTCACATATGCGGCAGTGGCTTCGAGGTCGAGTGCAAGGCGCCCACACACAGCGTTGTGTCCATGCAATTTTCAGTACATCGTTGGAACGTGCCATGCGCATTGGCACCATTACTGGTGCGGAAGTTAAAACAACTAGTGCGTTCCCGCTGTCGCGCTAATAAAATCGAAGGCCTTTGAACGCATTAGTAATTGTCGACAAGTGTTTATAGAGTAAAGATGAAACTGCGCTGAATAAAATAGGCGGGTAGCGCGGGGTTCAGTTACGTAACAGCCAGCGTTACGGTTAGCGGTCAAACCGCGCCACAGCCGAAAAACGCGAGTCCACAATCATGTCTGAGAAGTATCAATCAAGAAGCGATCATGCAGACGTAAGGTAACAGAGCAAAGAGAACGGCTATATAACCATTGCCATGAGATGTAAACGGAAGTTCTACGATAACGATGTGTATACCCACGTAGTCGACGATAGTTCAACCGAAACGATCTCTTGAACTCCACGCAAGCATTACGCCAAGTTGGTGTACGCTGTCTCAGTATGCAAGTACCGCAGTTCACGTTAAAGGCACAATAAGTTACGTAATACAAGCAAAGCGAAGGTGAAGGAAAATCTGAGCCTCTTATGCACAACGCGGCTCTGCTCGTCGACTTACATTCTAGGCCTTTTGTTGAGTAAGCGCTACAATGTGCCACATAGAATCAACAAAAAAGGCAGAAAACAAAGCATGGGAAGAAGTACCTAGATCTACGGCATCCACTTCTTCATCAATTTATCGCTGAAGATGAAGATCACGAGTCATATATTAACAAACAGAGACGTTACATTTCGCCTGCCTTACAAACCCGCCATCGGGTCATCCGCCATTATCGTAGCATCAAAAACACGGGAAGTTCATTGAGGATACCGCAAGTCGCAGTTTCGTACCAACGCCTCCTCTAGAAGATGCCTGCCGCATGAGAAGAAAAATGGCTGTCACAACCTTCTCCTCCTTTATTGTAGAATGTTCTCTAGCGTCACCTGTGGCGGACGGTGCAACAACGCGACACTTTGCATAGCCTCCGAAATAGCGGTGTACAGTTGCAGGTCTCAAACAACTCTCGACTGACGCGCCCCTATGGGCCGCAGATGGAAAATGCTTAGCTGGTACTATGGTGGCTGGTACCGCTTTCTGCCGTGAAAGTGCATGGATGATTGGATATATGGATGGATGTGGTTGTACCCTTTAGATCGCGCGGCAGCTAACGCCACCTAGCCGTAATACTTACTGAACTAATCATTACATTTATCTTTTTTTTTTCTTTAAATAATGAAGTTGAGGATTCGTACTTTGCAGTGAAGAGTTTAATTTTCACTCGTGCCTTGACTTTAGCCACCAATCAGATAACTTCCTTCTAGTTAAGTCTACCCGCTTAAAGTTTATTTTGCCCTCCTGGTTGCTAAACCCCAGTGCTTTGAAAAACTCTGCGCCATCATCCTGAACTATAGGGTGAAGCCCTTTACAGAACATTATCAAGTGTTCGGCAGTTTCTTCTTCCTCTCCACACGCACTGCATACTGTGTCTACCCCTTCGTATTTGGCCCGATATGTCTTGGTTCGCAGTACTCCCGTCCTGGCCTCAAACAGTAGAGAACTACCCCGAGTATTATCATAGATCCTTTCCTTGGCAATTTCCTGCTTAAAAGTTCGATAGATCTCTAGTGCCGACTTCTTAATCATGCCCATTCTCCACATGTCAGTCTCTGTTTCCTTCACTTTCTTCTTAACCGATAGTTCTTTTTTGGTTTAGCCACCTACTGTTTTCCAAGTATTTACAAGTCAACTTCCTGGTTCGCTTCCTCCATTTTGTATCGACATTCTTCATGTACAAGTAGCTGAAAACCTTCCTAGCCCAACGCTCCTCCCCCATTTCTCTCAATCGCTTCTCAAATTTTATCTTGCTGCTAGCTTCCCTGCCCTCAAATGATGTCCATCCCATATCACCTTGTACTCCCTGATTTGGTGTATTCCCGTGAGCTCCTAAAGCAAGCCTACCTATTCCACGTTGCTTAATTTCTAATCTTGCTTGAACTTCTGATCTCATGCGCAAGACCGCATTGCCGAATAGTCTCGGTATAGTCTCAGTCGCTAGCGCTACCGCGCGGCACTTGCTCAAAACTGAAGGCAGGCCAACTCCGCTGGGAGCGTGAGCCATTTCCCCAGGCATTGTTTAGAGGAGGCGTTGTTCGTACAGAATGTTCTATGCATTCTGCAAAAAATAACTCTTATATTGAGTTAAAAATAAATATATAGTAAAATGATAAACCCTGTGAAATTGTTAAGTGTGTGCCCTTTCTAACACATATTTATATTAACAGGGTGCGGGATCAAATTCCTGCTTCGGCGGTCACTTAGAAGTGTGGCAGCTTGGGCTTGATGGAAGCGAAACTGCTCGAGGCCCGTGTGCTTCATTTAGGTGTAAGTTAAAAAAAACCCAGCATGTTGAAATTTTCGGAGTCCTCCACTACGGCATCCTTCATCATAACATCGTACGATTTTAGGCCGTTATTAGACAGCGTCTCCTGCGCCAAGCGGCGAAGAAGTCAGCCCTACCAAAGCCTTCTAAATTTCTTCTGCCTGCCGGATTGTCGGCGGTGACTTAAAAAGCAGCCATCATCAGAACTGCGGTAAAGGCGCCACTTAGGTAGGGTTGCTTTAAAATAAGTTTTTTACGTTTTAGGAATTTATGTGCAACAAAAACACGCAAACAAAATTTTAAAAAGCGCAAGTGTAGGTATAAATAATTATAAATAACCTTACGTAAATGGCGTTGCCATAAATGACGGGCGTTTTGCGCTCATTCAGCAGGCAACCCATTCAAAGTAAAACATATCCTTTAAAATTGGTAAACAATAAAGTTACCAGTCATGAAGGCCAAGTACAAAGACCCTTGATCCTACGTAGGTAACGCTTCCATAGATGACGGACGTTACGCGCTCATCCGGCAGGCAAAAAAAAAAAAATATATATACGAGGCTAAGGCCCCACACAGGAGTGGCTTCTGCGCCGCATGAAAGTGACGTCACTTTAAAAATTATTACCTAAATGCATTTAAACATACAAACATACAATGTATATTATGTTAAACCAACGCACCCTCTAGAAAGATGCCTGCGATCGCACGCTTTTCTCTGGGGACGTGAGCATAGAGTTAATATACTGACTCTGGAGGAAAAGCTGGGCCAGAGAAGCTATAACCTGGTAGGTGTTCTGTGCTATAACTGGTGGGAGTTCTGTGCTATAACCACAAAAGCGCTGACATCTTTCTTGGAACGTTGTCATTGTTGCCATCGAAGCACTTTAGAGAAGCGCTAAATTTGAACGTTTAAAACACTAAAAATTACGCAATACAAATAAGGAACAAGCATGTTCACGTAATAAAATAGAAGTATATCTGTATAAAATTTTTGTCAGTTAATTTAAGGAAAGTTGCAATGGCTATTTTTTTATTTACTTAACGCAAAGAGAAGTGTTTGCAGATTTTTTCAATAGATAGCGCCGCCATTTTTGTAACGTTGAGAGCGTGGCGATGCAGTGCTTACGCTGCTGTTACGCACCGGGTGAGTCGGCATGCGTGTTTCTTGTAGCCAGGAGCCAAAAACTCACTTCATGCGACAGTCTCTTACTGCGATGTAACAGAGATCCATGAAACAGAGAAGATATCGGGTGTAATTGCAGCATGCAGTGGCGATTGCGAGTGAACGTCAACCGAAATGGCGATAGTTATAGCGCGAGCACTGAACGACGATACAGACAAGGACACGAATGACACTTGTCTGTGACACTTGTCATGTCTGTGTCGTCGTTTTGTTCTTGCGCTAAAGCTATCGTCATGTCATACCAACTAGCCCAAGCTGCCAAACGTCCAAATCAACCAAAAGCTGAGTGTCTTTCCATCGTGGCGGCACCCGAGCGGCTATGGGTTTTAAGGCATGGGCCCTATGGGGAGCTTTTCCTCTAGAGTATGTATGTTAACTCTAAGGATGGGAGGTTCCTCGTAGCTCAGTGATTTCTCCGCAAGGGACACTCGCAGCCGACACTTCTACTTTCGCTCAATTTGGAAGTGACACCATCACAAAGACACGACCGTGTTGCCTCCGAGACGGCAGTAGACATTGCTTTAATCTTAAAGGCAGCAAAGTCTAAAGCGGCCGCCGCAGCGAGCACCCGACGCTGACACTGTGTACCAGTCCTCAACTTTACTATTTAAAGGGGAAAAAAGATAAGCCTAGTTGGTTCACTAATTATTACAGCTAGGTGGCGTTAGCCGCCACCCGATCTCAAGTATACATCTATAGCAATTCATCCATGAGAAGCAATCAACGTAAGCACAAGGCCCGAGCTAAGTCAGACAAGGGGCTATATAACTGCAGGGTGGCAGAAAAGTGGGAAGAGATAGAAGAGCAGTTAAGGCAGGAGGAGCTGATGGTACATGGGGTTGTGGAGACACATCTTCGGGACATGCAGCAACCACCTTGCAATGCGGACTACGTTGGGGAATATTGCAATAGAACAGAAGGCAGCAAAAGGGGGAAAGGGTGGAGTTGGTGCATATAAAAGTACAGACTGGCAAAGGGTCAAGCTGGAGTGCAAGGAACATTTGTGGCTAAAAGGGAAAATGGCAGGGCAAATGACACTCCTTGGTTTGGTGTACTTGTGGACGGGAGCGAAGGAGAGAAGAAAACTAGGCAATGGTAGAGTGTATATCAAAGGACATTGAGGAGTTAGGAGGAGAGTGCGAGATCATTATACTAGGAGATATTAATGTGCACATAAAAGATATAGATGGGCATACTGGCCTAACAGGCAAAATAATCATGGATATGTGCGAAAGGCATGATTTGATCATTTGCAACTACTGAGAAGTGTGAAGGGCAAATAACATGGGAGGTAGGAAGGCTGCAGTCGACGATAGTTTATGCACTGATGTTACATAGGATGTATGATAAGCTCAGGGGAATGCACATAGATAAAGGTGGCTTCAGAAGTCTGGGTAGTGATCACAAACGTATCAAGCTAAGTTTTGAAAGAGCAGGGAAAGTGGGAAGGAGACAAGATGAGCAACTACAGGAAAATTTTTATTCAGAAAGGCAAATAGAAATAGCTACTAAACAATTTGAATAGGTAATCACTGATGATAATAAAAGAGTGTGGACGTACACGAATCTAATTAGACTGTTTGAGCTAGAGCTTGATAAGGCACGTAACAAGTCACCCCAGAAAAGGAGACACAAACCGAAAAGTAGGTGGGATGAGGAAGTTAGGAGAGCCATAGCGAAACGGCAGGAAGCCTCTAGAGAACAGACATGCTAAACAGTAGGGTGAACCGACAGATGATGCTGAAAAAATGGGATATCTTTCTAAGTTGTAGAAGAGAAGCATCCCTTCTGATCAATGAAAAGATTAGAAGAAAGGGGGCTCAGTGGATGGCAGAAGTACATAAAGCCCGCTGCGAAATTTTGGAACCTTCTATACTCCCTAAAAAAATGAGACAAGCCTAGCGCAGAGGTTTATAACTACAGCCAACGCCTTCTAGAAACCATCGTGAACTTATTTACAGCGCAACACTAGAAAAACACAGGACAGGGAAGGAGCAAAAGAGAAAGAAAAGACGGCAAAACAACGTAGCACGCCTGAATATTTTTTACCCTTTCTGCATACCGAATTCGGATTCTGTGTGAGAGTACCTCAAAAATAACTCGATAGGCTTACGTAGCGCCGACGAGGAAAATTTATATTATTCTCTTCCACATTACCAGGTTATGAAATGCGTAAAAGCCTGCATTGTGTTTGACAACGATGAAGAATGTTTCATCGATGG